GCAGTACCATGTTAAGATAGAGTTTCTATCAGCCTCAGTTCCTGAGTGACTGTGAAGAGTTTCCTCTACACTCACGCTGGACACATCACACAAATGAGAAGTTTTGTTTTGGTAAGCCACTGAGGTCTTGAGGTTTTGGTTAATGCAGCCTAATCCAAGCTATCCATACCAATACAACAGATCTCTCAGTAAGGGATTCTCTCACATAAACAACTTTATTTATAGATTTTAATGACAAACATTTTGTTTGCATAAAGAATTCTCTTTGCATCCATTCTGATTCAAAGCTATTTTCAATATAAAATATATTTGCCAAGTACCTACTATGTACAAAGTTGGATGATGAAGAGGACAGTCTATGTCTTGAAATAGCTTCAATCTTATATTGTGGGTAGAAGCAGGATTTAAGGCAATTATTGCAAAAAGGCATACTCTAATGTTATAGTGGTTTAAACTTAAAGAAGAGAGACATCTCATTTAGATGGAGAGAAAAGTACAGACAACCATCACAAAGGAACTTCTATATCAAATGGCCCTGAAACTTACATTAAGAATAAGTAGAGTCAAGGAGGTTATTTAAGATAGAAAAAGCCAACATGAACAAAGATATGGAGCACAAACCGCAAAGCACAAACAGCAAATAGTTCCATTAACCTAGAAAATATAAGAGAATGGCAAGAAATTGGTTTGTTTTGTCCATATTGCCTATGCCAGGCTGGTCTGTGCCTAACCAACAGACAACGGAGAGCCATTCAATGACCTGGCTGGAGAAGTGACAAACTTGGAAGTGAAGGCAGTATACATGATAGTTGGGAGGAAGGAAAAAAATGTTAGGGGGTTTCTGTGGTAATTCACAAGAATGGTCCAATAGCCCCAAATCAGTGTGATGACAGTAGGAGTGAAAAGAGGCAGATGCCAAGCCACATGGCTCACACCTGTAATCCAAGCACTTCGGGTCAAGGTGGGCAGATCACTTGAAATCAGGAGTTCAAGATCAGCCTGGCCAACATGGTGAAACCCTGTCTCTACTAAAAATACAAAAATGAGCTGGGTGTTTTGGCACGCTCCTGCAGTCCCAGCTATTTGGGAGGCTGAGGCAGGAGAACCACTTCAACCCGGGAGGTGGAGGTTGCAGTGAGCTGAGATGGGGCCACTGAGCTCCAGCCTGGGCAACAGAGAGAGGCTCTATCTCAAAAAAAAAAGAAGCAGATGCCAGAAACAGTGTGGAAGTAGGGTCAACAAGACCTGGCACCCAACCAAAAACACAGGCGAGAAAAAAAAGTAAGAATAAACTTGAGGTGCAGCTTCTGGGTTGAGAGACCTGTTATTCCAAGTAGCTGAGGTGAATCAGAAGAGTGACAATGGGCTAGGTGTGGTGGCTCATGTCTATATTCCCAGTATTTTGGGAAGCTGAGGTGAGAGGACTTCTTGAGCCCAGGAGTTTGAGACCAGCCTATGCAACATGGCAAGAGGCTTCCCAATGAAACCTTCCTCAAACACATGGATTTCTCCTTTTCCTGGTTTCTCATAGTACCTACTGTCTTAGAATTCTACAGACCATATCATAGTTATTATTTTCATGTGTGTGCTTTATTTCCTCAGCTATATTATAGACCCATTAGAACAAGTTTCTTATCTTAAATGGTTTTGAGTTTCCCCTCAGTCAATGCCTTGCATAAAATATGCACTCAAGAGGCGTTCCATTGATTGATACAAAGTCTATTAGTCTCTAAGAACATGAATGTCGTTTCATTATTAATATTTTATTTTTATTAAGCCATGGTTAGACATTCAGACATGTGAAAAGGAGAGATTCACCACTTAATATCTCAAAATATTCTTAAGAATCTCTAATCATAGGAGGAGCTGTTGTTGCCTTAAGAAATTATTTGAAAATATCATTTGGCTATAAATTTCTATGCCAGCTTCCTTTTAATCCCGTGTTGACTTTAAAGTACACCAAACATTTCAGTGATCATCTCTAGAGGATAATTTTGACGTAGAAACAACCTAATTTATCATGGGGACTATCTTACTTTAAGTAACCTAGTAAGTTTTTTCCTACCTTCACGTCCAACTATCTATAATTCACAGTACTACCACTGAAAAGTTAGAGTATTTTACTTTCTGAGGTAATACCTGCCTTCACTGGTCCCTCCCACAATTAATTACATTCGGTTCTCAGATTTCATTCCTTCCTCTTAATGTAAAGGAAACAAACAAAAACGAGGCGTACTGAGGAATCATAAAAATGGGCATTTTTGTAAAAAGGAATCCAAAATGTTCATGGGACACTCT